AATGTGTCAAAATAACATGATAAATAAATAGTAATTCCTAGTTACAATTTACTTTACTCATTTCACATACTTCCCTAAATTTAAATTGATGCTGGTGAGCAGATGGTTTGTTTTTATTAGCTTCCTGAAGCTTTTGGGCCGGGCAGAAGCCCAATTTGAACCCGTGACGGATTCCATCCAATACAAATTGAACCTCCTGTTGATGGGGATGGAGCCGCAACTCCCAGGGAAACTGCTCCGTCTGCAGAGGAGTGACTGTTGAAACTGGGGGAAGAGGAGCTAGGAAAGGAACACAAATAGAATGGGGTCAATAAATGGCCCCATAAAATCTAACCCTAACCCAAACCCCTTAATTGATGCACATCCCGGTCAATAACAAATGCCACGAAAATAAAACTGACGCAACTAGATTTAACTCAAGCACAAAAGGTCAAGAAATACAAGTGGTAAATACGCCATCCTAAAACGAAAGAACAACAACATAGTGTGGTGGGAAATAACAAACATAATGCAGCAAATGACAAACAACAACCTGATAGTGTCTAATCGCACCTAAACATGCTGCTAGAAGTCCTCCACCCTAACAACAAAGTCAAAACAGTAAGGGATGGCCTAATGACAATTATTAGAGTCTAATATTTCAATCGCTTAGCACCTGGACTTGCTGCTCAAGCGAGAAGGGGAAGAGTCAGCTTGCCGTTTGGGTGAAGTTCGGGACTGGCTTGATGGCTTGCCAGGGCAAGCTCCAATGCGGTGTGGACCAAACCAGCTGGAGCATTTGTGGGCAAAACGGCATGAAGAAGAAGGAGCAACACAACGGCCTTGGTTCCACGATTTGCAAATAATATGGGAAGATGAAGCTCCATGTGGCTCCGTGGATTCATCTGACAGTTCACAGCTGGCACAGACAGAGGCCCCAGCCGCATGGAAATTAAACAACTGGACATTTATGGCAGACCAGTCCGTCAAGTTCATTGCAGCGGTGTGTTCGCGGAAGGCCTGATCATATGCTAACCAGACCCGACCGGCGAACTGGCGATGTGTGCAGAGAATCAAAAGCTGGTATTGCAGCAAATCCCTCCTTCGCTGAGGGAAGTGGGACGACAAAATGAGGCTGTATACTCAGAAAGCCTCCAGCCAACTTGATACATCCTCAATAAGCCGTTTAGGCTTTTTGGGTGTCGAAGTTAGCACCAACCAACCGTCAAACAGCAATTGAGGCACAGACTCAGTTGAGACTATGTTGACAGAAAGCAGCTCATTCAGCTCTACAAACTTCCCAGCCACAATCTGGCTTACTAGTTTTGCTGGAATGGGTGAAAACCCAGGGCCAACCACGAACGCCTGATGCAGGATAGGCGA